GGTTTGCCACAGGCATATTTATATAACATATGTATGTACATATATACATAAATGTATGTATATGTATTTTAAGCGTAAATGACTGCAAGGGTGCTTCAATTCCTCTTTGGTCGTATTTATGTATGTATTCATATCGAAATAGGCATGTTGTGCGGAAAAGGAAAATATGGGGAGAGTTTAAGTTGTATTTTGATATGAATATATGTTTATACATATGTACATATGTATGTATGTGCATGCGTTAAAAGGGGAAAATATAACAAAGTATAGTGTAGAGAAGAGAACAATATCAATATGCACGCACACATATGTATGTACGTATACATATATATACATATATGTATGAAAACTCTTAGTAAAACTGCTACATATGCATGTAAGTACTAATTTTTTTAAAGCACAGAGAAAATTGAGCAAGAATCAGATCCAGAAAATTGGTAATGATGCTAAAATAACCAAATCCCAAATTATTGTCTTCTGTCGTATTATCGTTAGTTTCCTCACTCTCTTTCAATTATTTTCCAGTAAGTAGCACCTTGAAAAGCCAAAAATTTAGAAGGAATGTGCATACATATGTATGTATGTATGTATGTATGTATGTATGTATCTGCGAATTTCATCATGTTTCTCAGTAATACTGTTGTATTTGTGAGTTTCTTTTTGCGATCATCTCAAGTAAAATCAGACATTACAAATCCAAAACATATGTACATTCATACATACATACATACCTGAATATATGTATGCATGCAGGTACCTACATATATATGAGCATACATACATACATAACTAAGCTGAGAACTTTTCGAGTTGAATTTTTTTTAGGCATTCATGTCCATGAGTACCGACATATGTATGTATGTACGTATGTTGTTCAGTACAAGCAGAGAATGTATTCTACGTTCCAGAGAACGTGAAATAATAAAATATACGTTCTCTGGATGGGTACCTGAGCGAAATGTATCGAGTAATACGATTCACCAGAGAACGTTGTCTGTAGTGAATTACATGGTTTGTTCTCTCAATTAGCAGCGTGAATTACCCGCAGTTGTTAATTTTCTTATAGTACCATGAAGAAGAGCCAGCATGTGGAATACCACAACCCAGCGACTCTACTAAAGAAGTGGCAAAGCTATGATATCTTGGCTCCCGGTTCCCACCGGTAAAGTTCAGGACAAAAATGAAATGAAATTACCCACATTTTGTGTAATTCGTTCTGAAAAATTTTTTGGGAGCTAACAATGTATTTGGGGTGCTATGGAAATGCCGTGTAAGTTCACTTAAGCATTTAAACTTATACAGATATAGCGGGAAACTACATCGAAAGTTTCTACAATATGCTTCTTCAAAAAAATCCTTCGTTATTTATTTTATTGTAGTTATTTGGTAATTTAGACGACTCTTAGCACATTAGAGGGATCGTAATTATTGTTGTTTTTCGACGGCATATTCAAGAAACTGTATAATTTTCCACAGTCCGCATTTTTTTAGTAATCTTTCATATACTCATGGTCGTTCGCCAGGCTACAAACCTATTATATTTTTAGACTGTTTTCCTGCAAATCGGTCAACATACGCAACCGATCCGATCAGCTTGTGGATTTAAAAATATATTACAGACTATTGGCTGTTGACTGATATAAATTACTCTTTAATTTAAAAGATAATTCAGAATAAAAAGACTCAAGTAAGCCATAAGTAGATTTCTGACATGAGATCACATTTTTAGTATTTAGCTTTAATTACTTTAATATCGACGGAGAACGAGAGCGCTTGGTTCTAGAGGAACATTAAAGTGTATTTCCATAAGAAGCTCTGGGCAATTAACTAGGCCATCGATTAAATAGATCATCGCAACGCATTCAAAGGAAAGGGTAAGATGGGTGGGGAATCAGCTAAGTTAAGTGAAGTGAATAAAAAATCGAAAAGAACAAAATAGTTTCAGAATTATGCTCGAAAGGGTTGAAATTTCTTTCCAAGACCCTCGGCACTTATACCTCAATGAGTAGTATGGGTCATCCCCCTTTGTATCTACAATCCGTATGAGAAATATTTATCAAAAGTTATGCTCGTTGATAGCAACGGCGTTGCATGCACTTCAAACTAAATGATCTCAAAGAACTCCCCGGTGGATTTGTCGCTTACACCCTCAAAATGTTTCAATCACCGCTTGAGCTTAAGTGTTTACGTGAACGGAAAATTTGGGAATGGCTGCCAATTAAATTTGAAACTGGTATAAATTTTTCGGACATAAATAAGAAGTAGCATTGATTAATTGGAAATCATAACATAAAAACATTCAATGTCATGCATTTGTGGGTGGAAAGAGAGGAAGTGAACTTACTTATACATAATTAAAGAAGTTGATGCTTGGGTCCGACCTTTACAAATAAAGCTTTCAATAGGAAAATAAAGAGTATCAGGAGAAAATTATAAAATAGTACTTAAGTAAATTATGAAGGGATGAGAAATTGCATATGCGTTTACTGAATTGTCGGTCAAGCCAAGACACAAGATAATTGTGTTGTACTTCCTATTTTCGTATAAAATGGGTGTAAATAATAATAAAGGAGCTTATTGTAATGGAGTATTTGCTCAAAATTTCATGAAATTTTATTAATTAATTATGCCCATAAACAACACTGTAGTTTTTATTAAGTAAAATGTAATTCTGGCAGCCTTGGCGAAACTTTTTCTATTTCCTTTTTGATTATTTTCGTATTCGTTCTGTTTCGATTCCAGTCGTAATAGATATGCTTTGGCATGTGTATGTATATGTTACTTTTTACATTTGTACATAAAATAAAGGCAGAGTTGCGCAGCAGTTGGCAACTGCAGACCATTCTTACCTACATACATATGTGCATATAAATATGGGACATTTACATGGAGATAAAGTATTCAGTATGTATATATGTATGTTCATAATTGTATACCTGAGCAAATAGTCAGATGCATACATATACATATATGTATCTACGTTGGAAGTGTAGAGAACAAAAGTTCCCCGTACTCCATTTTCCTCCCTGCTTTTTGATCGTGCTCATATGACGTACCTGCATATGCTGTTTCAGTAGGAGAGAGGAGAGAGGAGAGAGAATCTATGATTCCCCTAAATATGTTTTCGCACGTAGAATATGTATTTGAGTTGAGAAATTGAGGGACGTCGACAAACTGACAAACTGGCAAAGTGGCAAACTCGTTATTAATGGCGTCGGCTATTGCTGGCCTGTTTACCTCTCGTTCGTGTATTGTCGTTTGCGATGCGCCAGTTGAGTTTAGGCTGTTGGAGCTTTTGTTAGTGTCTGCTTAATTTTTCGCGGTTGTTTTGTGAAAAAGAAAGTTGAAGTCTTGGGGAAAATGTGAGTTACTTAAACATTTATACATATTTTATAGATGAATATATAGTGTATAGTGTATAGTGTATGTCTTTGATAAGGAACTTGGTGTTGATAAAAGCATTTGTATTTGAGGAAATATATCATATCGTTAAAAGAATATTAATATATATTCATGCATGCATATGTACATATATATGGGTGTATTGAAAAGTACAACGTGGAGTGCGAAAAGAAAATCAAGTGAAATTATGCCAAATAATTGCTGCACAGATCCATGTGTATGTGTGTTTATGCACAAAGCCATATATGCGTTAAGAAACATAAAATTAAAAACTGAATTTATACAATTGAAATACAAATTTGCAAGTATGCGCACGTACATATATGTATATCGACAAATTTTCCTGAAACTATATTGGTTGGTTGGTTATTTTCTCGAGGAGTAATGTATCGAACGCCCGTCGTTGTCGTCATTGGCAAAAGATAGAGGCAACATTTCTTAGGAAAGAGTACAATTTATATCACCCATTGGCAACTCTGTTGGGGAAAGAAAAGTAACGAACGAGCACAAACTGTACGCTTCGATTTTGAATGTCGGGCGGGAAGCCGAACAATATTCCGCGCGGCAGTGACAGAAAACGAAGTCTAGTCATGCTGGTTGTTTAATCTATGGTATTTGTTGTTGTGCTGGTCGCATTTGAGTTGTTAACGGTGGTAGTAGTAATTTCCCCCACATTCATTTTAACGGTGCTTCCATTTTGTTCGGATCTTTCTTGTGCTGTTCTGTTCTCATAACATGTTACTGTGGTATACATACTAGCTGCTAATCATAGATTTGTCCTTTGAAAATTTTATTTTTCGTGTGAGTTGCTTGTGTTTTTTATGTTTAGCATACATTTTAAACATTTAGTTGAGAGAAAGTGCATTTCAATCGATACAGTGTGGAGTGAATTCTACATATGTGCACATATGTACATACACGTGCCTTGACTATATAAAAACATTTGTATATTATATATGTACATATATTTTGTATATATATTTATACCATATTCGCGAAATCAATCATTTCTGTGGAAGGTAGAAGTGATTATACGTTTATATGCGAATGCTGGCTTAAACAGTTGTTCTTCACAAATTAGTGCTAGGATGTGGTTTGACATTTTATTTAAGTTTAATAAATTTTTCAAATTTCGAAAATGGTGGTAGTACTTCTGCATTAAAATAAAAGTTTGGGAAGTAATTATTAGTCTATAGATCAATGGTCGGTACGCTATATGTGTCGAGCTACATATTTATAATATTGTTACTTAAATGGTAATATTTTTTTTGTCTTACGAATTATTATTTCAGACTTTGCTGTTCTGAGAATGTCTGCAGGGATTTATTAATTAATTTATTTTTATCTTCTTTTCAGATATATTTGCTGTTGCGATTTCATTATTGTAAAGGAGCTGGATTTAAAGTAAAAACTTTTTAATATTTATTTGCGGCTTTGCAATTGAGGAAAATATAATAAATTAACATTGAATTGTGATTGCTGAGAGCTGAGTCGAGTTTTTCATTCTTTTAATCTTATAACTGAACATACAATAAAAGTACTGCTAATTCTGGCGTCATAATTAATTCCTCGTGGGACCATCGCTGTCAGTTGGCACCATGGAGGACGATCAGCAGTTCTGTCTTCGATGGAATAACCACCAAAGCACATTGATCAGTGTATTTGACACACTATTAGAAAACCAGACTCTCGTCGACTGCACGTTAGCCGCAGAGGGACAATTTCTTAAGGCTCATAAAGTGGTACTGTCTGCATGCAGTCCATTTTTTGCAGTGAGTATACTTTGTAAAAGATCAAATGGAATCTTTGATTTAGAGCTGAGCTCGTTTATTTCATTTCACGCAATATATTATTAAAAAGCTATTTACACTCTCGAAGATACTGTAATGACATGGGTGCGATTGTTATTGTTAATGCGCCGGTTAATATAGATTTGGAATTTTAATAGCTTTGAAATTATCTTAAAAAATTTCTCAAGCTCTAAGTCAATAAAAAAATTTTAGGCAGTTACGCTAACTAACACTATTTTCATATTTTTAGACTCTGCTACAGCAGCAGTATGATAAACATCCAATATTCATTTTGAAGGATGTCAAATATCAAGAATTGCGTGCCATGATGGACTACATGTATCGTGGGGAAGTTAATATTTCGCAGGATCAATTAGCAGCGCTGTTAAAAGCTGCTGAATCATTGCAAATTAAAGGCCTCTCTGACAATCGGAGTGGTAGTACGCCGAAAACAGAACAACATCGCGGTTTAAATGTACCTGCAAGTGGTAGCGGAGCTAAATTGAGCGGGTATACACTCGAACAAACGCAGTCTAAACGCCCTCGAGTTGTACCATCCTCAATGGAAACGGCAGATATTTCAGGCTCACGAGAGGGCTCCTCCAGCCCTTCTAGGCGCCGAAGGAAAATTAGACGCAGAAGTATTGAAAACACCATGACTGGTAAGTTGTAATTAAAAGCAAAGAACTTGAAATATTGATATTTTCCTTTCGTTGTGGTAAAATCCTAAGTTAATCAAAACTAACCTTACATAATTACAGCAGATGTTCATGACAATTCCAACTCTTCTCAAATGAACCAACCACTTCAGCCACAACAACAGCAACCACAATCCAATGTAAGTCTATCTGGAGTTGGAGCCATATCGGCAGCCAGTTCTTCACTTCCCGTTCCGGCATCCGCACTATCGTCGGCTTCAAGTGGGGTTTTAGCAGCAACCGGTTCAATAGTTAGCACACAAGGCACTCAGCAAATGACCACAAACATTACCAAAAAGACTGAAAGCGTTAAGGGAGCAAACGATGTAATGAATTCAGAAAATATACAAGTTGCAGGTGTAGCTGGTACCGGTGAAGATCACAGTGCAGAACATTTAAAGGGTGAAAAGTCTAATCACAAACAAAAGTCATCGACAACTGGTGTTGCTACAAAAGAAACTGCCGAAATGGTAATCGAACCCAAAAGTGAATATGAGGAAGAAGGAAATGAGGGAACCGTTGAGGATCTAACACTTGATGATGAAGAAATGGGCATGGAAGATTTGGATCAAAATGCCGGTACTAGTCAAGCTGGTGAAGGATCAAGTCAAGGTGAGAAATAGCCTAACTCTTAGATAAAAAATAAATATATATCTATATATGTATATATATTTCGATATATATATATTTATATATTTGGTATGCATTCATGTACAATAATTTATTAAAACATTTTCTATTTAAAGGATATGCGCCATGGCAACATGATAGATCTCAAGATGACCTTTTAATGGCGCAACAAGAAGCACAGCAAAGGGATCCACAAGGTGAGCTAGTGTATTAAGTCAAAGAAACCCATATGAAAATGCAAAGAAAGCTAAAAAGAGCACGACAGATAAAATGCCAAAGATTTGAATAGTCAATATTTCCAAATACATATACTTGCATAATGTTATTAAAAATGGAAGAAAAGTTAAAAATTAACGTCCGGTATCAAGACATTTATATCTTAAATGGAAAATGGGCCGATTAAAGTGTGCTATATTTGTTTTAAAGTATTTATTATGCATAGGCAAATATAATATGATATATATACATATATATATGCATATTCAATTATATATTATATATGATATATAATATATTATGTTTCGATCTTATTGCTACTTAAACATATAACAGTTTTATTTTGTTTCACAAATTTAAGAATTACAAAGTTTATTAGTCGTGCTCAAAGAAGCTATTATTGCTGTCTATGCGACAGTACAATCTGAGATGAATACTAGATACCCGAGAGAAATTTAAGAAAAGTTTGCGTTAGAAAAGAATTAGAAACAAGCAAATTATTTTTGTATACATTAATAGAGCAGCATGTAAGTTGCGAAGAAAGGAAAAGTGGTGCTGCTGATAAATTTATATAATTTGAAGTTTTGTTATATATAGATACATCAATTTTAATTCACATACAGTATATATCTTGATTAAGCAAACAAATATCCAGAAAGAGATTAGTTATATACTGCAGCCCACTTCCACTTCAACTGGCTTTCTTTTTCTTTCTTTAGTTAGTTATTTCCTTATTTTAATAATTTTACAATTTTAAAGTGTTGTTGTTGCTTTTTAACCCACTACTATGATTACTTACCATACTTCACGAGATACTTTAACATAATTGTATATTCATTTTGTCTAACCATTTACATGTATGTATGTATATTTTCTTTAATTTGTGTTTGTTCATTGTAGTGCTATGTAAATATACAATAATTATTTTTTGGCAATATTTCATTTAGTTTTGGTGCTTGTGTAGATTGATTTGGTTTATTTTTTATGAATTTTTATTTTAGATCAAAACGCATTATTCGTGATGTTTACTTATTTATTTATGTTTTTATTTACCAAATAAGTACACACATTTGCCATAAATTTATATAGACAATATTAGTTTAGTTTAAAGTTGGTTTTAAATGCAGGTTTTCTTCCACCATCTCCACCTCATATTTACATAATTCATACATATATATGTACCGAAATCCTTTCAGGCATTTGCATATACACACATACATTTAAATATATTATGTTCAATATCTCACGACATATCTATGTAGTCCGGTCCGTTTGGAGAAAGATTTTTTCGTTTATTATTTTAGATACACATGCATACCTCCAAATTCATTACCCTTCCACTCTATCTGCAGTTCGCTTGTATTCAGTGTCATTTGCCAAATTCATTTCGCTTTTAATTGTTTTATTAATATCAAACTTTGAGTACAAGTATTACGTAATTAAGAAAATATTTTTAACAATACATAAGTTTTTTTTTTTTTTATGTATTAAATAGTATAAATAGAGGCCAATGTAATACCGTTAGTTAAAAGGATTTTTCCTTAAATTATATGTAAATAGGAAGGTACATACATATGTATGTGAATTTTCGTAACTTTACATTGCATTCGAGAAAAATGAACAGGAAAACGCATGCTAATCGCTCCCGGAAAAAGCCTACATACTGAAACAAATTGTAGTTATTTTTTTATTTTATTTGTAACTAAAGTATGTTTGTTTTTATTATTGTTGGTTGACGGGACTCAATTTTTTCTTTTGTTTTAAGTGTCAAGTTAAGATACATATTTGTTAAGTAGACGGGGATAAGCGGTAGACGTTATTATAAAGCTCTAATTTTATTGCCTTTACGAGCTGGGCTAATTAATTGGTCGCGAGTACAAAACCATACAACATTTTACTCTTAAAGTTGTATGTTATATTTTAAATGTTGACGGTGTTGTAAGTGCAAAAAAAAAAAAAATAATAAACCATATAAAATATAAGTGGCAAGTTATGTAGTGAAAGTAAGAAATATTGAATCTGGAATCTGAAGCTGCATAGAACCTACTTTTTCGAAGCAATGGGATGCAGAAGCAGTTGGCTGAAACATGTAGTTGTCAACATCATAATTGATTGGCAACGAGGTACAGTGAGTTTCAAGCCATACACATCGTTTTAAATTACAGTCAACATAAGCTGTCGCAATTCAGGTGAGTATTCTTTGTTCAACGGTATCGGTTGGACAAAGGTGAATATACATTTTAATGGAATATTATATTTAAATTTCATTATATCAATTCATTTCATCACTTATTCATTAGCATCAAATATACGTTCTCAAAATGAATTCTCAAATACGGTAGTTCCTAATAACATTGTTATCGTGAACTTTCGATTGACATTTAACATCAAACATGTAAATGTCGTTTTTGAAATATTGGTTGTTTTAATGTAGCCTGTGAATGTCGGTTTTCAACATTTTGGAGTTATCAATGTATAAAACACTTCAAGCTCTTTTGGTAGTAAACATAAGCCTGAATGTGTCTTCCTTATACATTTACATTTTAGGGTCACCATGAATAATTTCTCATATTCACGAATGGAATGTAGATGTAATTCCATAATTGTTTGCTTAATGTTGACATTTTTTTTAATCCCATTTCAGTATCGCTTAAATGCTTAAATTGAATTGGACCAATAATCAGACACTTTATTTCCTCACACATTGCTTTTATAAAATTCCTCTATAAATACATTTTTTCTCGTTACTTATGAAACATAAAAAATAGATGTCCTCAAATACATTTGATATATTAGGTTAAGGTTACTTAGCGTATTAAATATAGCCTTCAAAATGTAAAGGAGTATGTATATATTACAAACATCTGGTCATCGAACCTAACTCTCTACACGCAACACGTAGATGGTCGTGGCGGAGAAACCTTTTGTTCGGCATAAAGTGTAAGTAGATTTTTTTTATTATTAATTGTAGACAGTTAGTAATTACTATCAAAATTATTTATTTGGGCTGTTAAATATATAAACACACCGATGTTAAGTACATATGTAAAACCTTAAAAAATAAGAAGCCTTAAGTAAATTTTTAGGCCTGTTTCAGTTTGATTTTGCTGGCTTATCTATCTATTATTGTTTAACATTATTAGGTACGTACGTATGTACTTATACAGTTGCATTAAAATTTTGGGAAGCCTTTATCTCTACCACTGGTCAAGTTGGGTGGAGTGCTCTCCTCAGATCACAGTTTGGAGAAATGGGTTAATAATCTGATGAGTGCTTAGCGCTGAAGTAGTATCTTCATTGTCTGCGTCGTACGAATACCTTAATATATGTATAATATAATTTGATTTCATACTCGCCGATGGTCGCATAGAGATCGAGCATTTCGTATTTTAATATTTCAGTGTTTCTTTTAATGAAGGGGCATTTTTTTTTTTCAAAACTCTATTTATGTGTCGTGAACGTTAGACAAGTTTAAATATGGCCAAGTTCGAGGTCATGCACTTGCTTAATATGCGTATGAAGCAAGTTATTCTAATAAACGGGAAAAGTTTTTAAAATAAAAACTTGAAAATGTCCAGCTTTGTTTTTGTTTACAGTGCTGTTATTGCGGTTATTATCCACACTGACTTCTCTTTATATTTATATATTATTCTTAGCATAAGTATATACTTACATATACTTATATCCATATGCATGGTATGTATGTATATGCGCTGTATAGAAATTTTATTGGTTAAATGATGGGAAGTCTATGGCTAAAAAAATGTTAATGGGTGAATGAATAGAACACAAATATTTATTTGTTAGAGTGTAGTCGTGACCAATTTAACATTTGTTTTGTATTGCTTTCGATTTCAATTTTTTGTAAGGGAAAGTTGAAGTGTAATTTTTCATTATGGTGGAAGTGAGCCGCAAATTGTTTTATTACTGTTAGTTAGCTCCAAATGGAGGTTGGGAATAATTTATAAACATTCACACAACTTTATTTTATTTATATTTTCTTTTTCGTATATTCCGTATTTTTTTTTTTTTTTGTTTGGTAACAACACTGTTTGGCTTATAAAAGAGATTTCCAAAGAAGAGACTTGAATATTTTCGCTAAAATTGTATAAATATCTCCCCTTATCCTTTTATGATTTCTGCAAAATGATTGGAATTGCAAATGAATATGATCACCATCTGCGCTCTTTCTCTTCTTTCTTCTGCAGAATTGCGAGAGTCAAATGTTCGACGTACCAAGTCAAGAAGATCGAAAAGACCGCAGAAAGGGAAGAACTGTATTATCCAACCGGATTTAGTGACTTCCGTTAGAGCGCAGAGGTAAATAAGTCCCTTCTTTATTTAACTCATATGACTCCGAATAATGCCCTTTTTTCCATTTGCTTTCATATGGCCAAATCAGAGATGCTTATCCAGCTACTACTACTTCTAGTTTCGCGGCTTTCACCGCAAATGAATCGAAATGTCCGTTTACGTGCGCCGGTTGTGGTCGTGTTTATCAAAGATTTTTCACATTAAAACGTCATTTAATGAGTGAATGCAATCAGCCAAAGAAATTTATTTGCGATATTTGCGGTCGAGGTTTTCATCATAATTTCAAACTAAACGAGCACTATAGGCGGCTGCATAGATCATCACCACCGAAAAAAGTTGGTCAAATGTTTAGTGGGCAATGAACCAATATTTTTTATATTCCTGGATACATACATATATAAAAATGTAAAGAAGTTTGCTGACGTTAAAATACACTCAGTATAAGTTGCATTCAAAAGCCGCTAATTTCTTTCATTTAAAATCCCTTAAGGTCTTCTCAAACACAGGCTGTTGCTATAGAGTCCCCCAAGTTTATTTCTGACAAGAGACACTTTCGTAATCCGAAATAATTTGAAAAGCACATTTTATATCAATGGGAGTTAATCGAGGACGTTTAAGATCAAACTCTTTAAAATTTCAATAGAGGATCTTATATCCCCTCTGTCCC